CTTCCTTGTAGTGACACTTTGTCCGGTGCAATGAGGGCAATGTCATCTGCATAAAGCAGTATTGATAGGGTAGCTTCGTCAAATTGCACACCACACTTTAACTTATTGATTTCATCAGCAAGATCGTTGATGTAGATCGAAAATAGGGTTGGTGACATCTTACATCACTGTCGTACTCCAAGAGAGACTGGGAATACTTCTGTCTAAAAATAATTAATATTAACACGGCAGTGATAATCTGTGAAAAGACTCTGTATAGCTCAATAATCTTACCATAAATTCCAATTTCCATTAATTTATACCACAAACAATGAAAACTCACAGTGTCAAACGTCTTTTGCATGTCAACAAAGCATACAAAATTTGATTGTTTACACCGTTCTTCGTTTGGGAGTCTAAATCCATTTTGTTCTTTTGGCAAAATTTATTCTTTTCAAGCCACGTTCAGCAGTGCATGATGTGTACATTCTGTAACACTAGTGTATGCCGGGTACATTCAGTAACAGTCGTGCATGATCAGTTTGTTCTGCAACAGTATAATGCATAAAGGATATATCCTGTATCAGTAGTGCATGATGTGTACATGGTGTAACAGTAGTGCATGATGGGTATATTCTGTAACAGAAGTGTATGATGGGTACATTCTGAAACAGTAGTGTATGACGAGTACATTCTGTAACAGTAGTGCATGATGGGTATATTCTGTAACAGTAGTGCATGATGGTTATATTCTCTAACAGTAGTGCATGATAGGTATATTCTGTAACATTAGTACATGATGGATATGTTCTGTATCAGTATATAGTGCATAACGGATTTATCCTGTAACAGTAGTGCATGGTGGGTATATTCTGTAACAGTAGTGTATGATGGGTATATCCTGTAACAGTAATGCATAATGTGTACATTTTGTAACAGTAGTGCATGATGGGTATAGTCTGTAACAGTAGTGCCTGATGGCTATATTCTGTAACAGTAGTGCATGATGGGTATATTCTGTAACAGAAGTGCATGATAGGTATATTCTGTAAAAGTAGTACATGATGGATATGTTCTGTATCAGTATAGTGCATAAATAATATATCCTGTAACAGTAGTGCATGATGGGTATATTCTGTAACAGTAGTGTATGATGGGTATATCCTGTAACAGTAGTGCATGATGTGTACATTTTGTAACAGTAGTGCATGATGGGTATAGTCTTTAACAGTAGTGCATGATCAGTATATTCTGTAACAGTAGTCCATGATGGGTATATTCTGTAACAGAAGTTCATGATAGGTATATTCTGTAACAGTAGTACATGATGGAGATGTTTTGTATCAGTATAGTGCATAAAGGATATATCCTGTAACAGTAGTGCATGATGGGTATATTCTGTAACAGTAGAGTATGATGGGTATATGTTGTAACAGTAGTGTATGATGGGTATATTCTGTAACAGTAGTGCATGATGTGTACATTTTGTAACAGTAGTGCATGATGGGTATAATATGTAACTGTAGTGCATGATGGGTATATTCTGTAACAGTAGTCCATGATGGGTATATTCTGTAACAGAAGTGCATTATAGGTATATTCTGTAACAGTAGTACATGATGGATATGTTCTGTATCAGTATAGTGCATTAAGGATATATCCTCTAACAGTAGTGCATGATGGGTACATTCTGAAACAGTAGTGTATGCCGAGTACATTATGTAACAGTTGTGCATGATGGGTACATTCTGAAACAGTAGTGTATGCCGAGTACATTATGTAACAGTAGTGGATGATGGGTATATGCTGTAACAGTAGTGTATGATAGGTATATGCTGTAACAGTAGTGTATGATGGGTATATTCTGTAACAGTAGTGTATGCCGAGTACATTATGTAACAGTAGTGGATGATGGGTATATTCTGTAACAGTAGTCCATGATGGGTTGATTCTGTAACAGTAGTACATGATGGATATGTTCTGTATCAGTATAGTGCATAAAGGATATATCCTGTAACAGTAGTGCATGATGGGTATATTCTGTAACAGTAGTGTATGATGGGTATATGCTGTAACAGTAGTGTATGATGGGTACATTATGTAACAGTAGTACATGATGGATATGTTCTGTATCAGTATAGTGCATAAAGGATATATCCTGTAACAGTAGTGCATGATGGGTATATTCTGTAACAGTAGTGTATGATGGGTATATCCTTTAACAGTAGTGCATGATGTGTACATTTTGTAACAGTAGTGCATGATGGGTATAGTCTGTAACAGTAGTGCATGATGGGTATATTCTGTAACAGTAGTCCATGATGGGTATATTCTGTAACAGAAGTGCATGATAGGTATATTCTGTAACAGTAGTACATGATGGATATGTTCTGTATCAGTATAGTCCATAAAGGATATATCCTGTAACAGTAGTGCATGATGGGTACATTCTGAAACAGTAGTGCATGATGGGTACATTCTCAAACAGTAGTGTATGCCGAGTACATTATGTAACAGTAGTGCATGATGGGTATATTCTGTAACAGTAGTCCATGATGGGTATATTCTGTAACAGTAGTGAATGATTGGTATATTATGTAACAGTGTTGCATGATGTGTATATTCTGTAACAGTAGTGCATGATAGGTATATTCTGTAACAGTAGTACATGATGGATATGTTCTGTATCAGTATGGTGCATAAAGGATATATCCTGTAACAGTAGTGCATGATGGATATATTCTGTAACAGTAGTGCATGATGGGTATAGTCTGTAACAGAAGTGCATGATAGGTATATTCTGTAACAGTAGTGTCTGACGGGTATATGCTGTAAAAGTAGTGCATGATGTGTACATTTTGTAACAGTAGTGCATGGTGGGTATATTTTGTAACAGTAGTGTTTGATAGGTATATTATGTAACAGTTGTACATTATGGGTATATTCTGTAACAGTAATGCATGATGGGTATATTCTGTAACAGTAGTTCATGATGGGTATATTCTGTAACAGTAGTGCATGATAGGTATATTCTGTAACTGTAGTGCATGATGGATACATTCTGTATCAGTACAGTGCATAAAGGATATATCCTTTATCAGTAGTGTATGATGTGTACATTCTGTAACAGTAGTGTATGACGGGTACATTATGTAACAGTAGTGCATGATGGGTAAATTCTGTAACAGTAGTGCATGATGAATACATTCTGTATCAGTACAGTGCATAAAGGATACATCCTGTAACTGTAGTGCATGATGTGTACATTCTGTAACAGTAGTGTATGACGGGTACATTCTGTAACAGTAGTGCATGATGGGTATATTCTGTAAAAGTAGTGCATGATGGGTATATTCTGTAACAGTCGTGCATGATAGGTGTATCCTGTAACTGTAGTGCATGTTGGATATATTCTGTATCAGTATAATGCATAAAGGATATATCCTGTATCAGTAGTGCACGATTGGTACATTCTGTAACAGTAGTGCATGATGGGTACATTCTGTAACAGTAGTGCATGATGGGTATATTCTGTAACAGCAGTACATGATGGGTACATTCAGTAACAGTAGTGCATGATGGGTATATTCTGTAACAGTAGTACATGATGGGTATATTCTGTAACAGTAGTGCATGATGGGTACATTCAGTAACAGTTGTGCATGATTGGTACATTCTGTAACAGTAGTACATGATGGGTATATTCTGTAACAGTAGTGCATGATGGGTATATTCTGTAACGGTAGTCTATGAATGGTACATTCTGTAACAGTAGTGCATGATGGGTATATTCTGTAACAGCAGTGCATGATGGGTATAGTCTGTAACAGTAGTGCATGATAGGTTTATTCTGTAACTGTATTGCATGATGGATATGTTCTGTATCAGTATAATGCATAAAGGATATATCCTGTAACAGTAGTGCATGATGTGTACATTCTGTAACAGTAGTGCATGATGGGTATATTCTGTAACAGTAGTGCATGATGGGTATATTCTGTTACAGTAGTGCATGATGGGTATATTCTGTAACAGTAGTGCATGATTGGTATATTCTGTTACAGTAGTGCTGGATGGGTATATTATGTAACAGTAGTGCATGATAGGTTTATTCTGTAACTGTATTGCATGATGGATATGTTCTGTATCAGTATAGTGCATAAAGGATATATCCTGTAACAGTAGTGCATGATGTGTACATTCTGTAACAGTAGTGCATGATGGGTATATTCTGTAACAGTAGTACATGATTGGTATATTCTGTTACAGTAGTGCATGATGGGTATATTCTGTAACATTAGTGCAGGGTGGGTATTGTCTGTAACAGAAGTGCATGATGGGTATATTCTGTAACAGTAGTGCATGATGGGTATTGTCTGTAACAGTAGTGCATGATGGGTACATTCTGTAACAGTAGTGCAAGATGGGTACATTCTGTAACAGTAGTGAATGATGGATACATTCTGTAACAGTAGTGCATGATTGGTATATTCTGTATCAGTAGTGCATGATGTGTATATTCTGTAACAGTAGTGTATGATGGGTACATTCTGTATCAGTATACATGATGGGTATATTCTGTAACAGCAGTGCATGATGGGTATAGTCTGTAACAGTAGTGCATGATAGGTATATGCTGTAACTGTAGTGCATGATGGATATGTTCTGTATCAGTATAGTGCATACAGGATATCCTGTATCAGTAGTGCATGATGTGTACATTCTGTAAGAGCAGTGCATGAAGGGTATATTCTGCAACAACAGTGCATGATGGGTATATTCTGCAACAACAGTGCATGATGGGTATATTCTGCAACAGTTGTGCATGATGGGTATATTTTGTAACAGTAGCGCATGATAGATATAGTCTGTAACAGTAGCGCATGATAGATATATTTCTATAACAGAAGTGCGCAATAGATACAGTCCTTTACAGTAGTTCCTGATAGATACAGTCTGTAACAGTAGCGCATGATGGATATGTCCCGTAAGGTAAGTACAGGTGTGAAACATCAAACGAGTTGTGAGCATATATTTATTATTTGATCACGCAGATACAGCAATACATGAACACGTCAACGCTGGAGACTCGAAGTGAGGCGAGGTCTTTGTCAGGTGGATATGGCGGCCATCTTGTAGTGCGTGTGTTTTAGTGATGCATTAAAGTTGCCATAGACCCGGGGAGCACGCTGGGAATACTTTCCTGTGACAGATTCAAAACAAATATTATTATAATTATTGCCAGGTAGAAATGATATTATATTACTCATTTGCACTCATATATAACACTCAGTTGCATAATTGAGTGAACAGGAAAAATGGAATAACATCATTTTCGTGTTGCTTTTGATGTAAATCGTTACTCAGAATATTCCCCTGAAAACATTTTCAATTATTAAATGTAAATCAAGTTACCCAGTTTGACTACTCCCAGTTTGACTACTCCCAGTTATGACTACTTTCCGTTATGACTACTTCTCACTTTGACTATTCCCATTTTGACTAGTCCAGTGTTTGACTAGTCCACTGTTTGACTACTCCACTTTTTGACTACTCCCCTGTTTGATCACTCCAATGATGAGAATTGCTGGGTTTAACTTCTCCCAAGTTTGAGTGCTCCACTGTTTGCCTACTCCCCCGTTTGACTACTCGACTCTTTGACTACTTCCCAGTTTGACTACTCAACTCTTTGACTACTTCCCAGTTTGACTACTCCACTGCTTGACTACATCCCAGTTTGACTACGCATCACTTTGACTACTCCACTGTTTGACTACACCCCAGTTTGACTACACCCCAGTTTGACTACGCCTCACTTTGATTACACCACTGTTTGACTAGTCCCCAGTTTGACTACACCCCAGTTTGACGACACCTCACTTTGACTACTCCACTGTTTGACTATTCCCCAGTTTGACTAGTCCCCAGTTTGACAACACCCCAGTTTGACTACGCCTCACTTTGACTACACCACTGTTTGACTAGTCCCGAGTTTGACTATTCCCCAGTTCGACAACACCCCTGTTTGACTACGCCTCACTTTGACTACTCCACTGTTTGACTAGTCCCGAGTTTGACTATTCCGTGCTACATTTCCATGTCTATCTGGTCGACCTGAGGCAACATCATATTTATCCTGCCACCCTCCCCTTGAAATATCAACGGCCTGTCCCTTACCACAGTCGTGCAGTCACTGGGTGGAGTGAATACGTCTGATTCCTCTGGTGGTAAAGGAGACACGACGTCACCCAGCAGGGAGACGAACAGGAAGGTATCTGTACAACACAGAGAAGTGGGGTCATCAACGACTCAAGGCAAACAACAGGAGACTAAATATTCATAAGTAGGTATCTGTACAACACAGGGGAGTGGGGTCATCACTGGCTCAAGGCAAACAACAGGTGACTAAATCTTCACAAGTAGGTATCTGTACAACATAGGGGAGTGGGGCCATCACTGACTCAAGGCAAACAACAGGTGACTAAATCTTCACAAGTAGGTATCTGTACAACACAGGGGAGTGTGGTCATCAACGACTCAAGGCAAACAACAGGTGACTAAATCTTCACAGGAAGGTATCTGTACAACACAGGGGAGTGGGGTCATCAACGACTCAAGGCAAACAACAGGTGACTAAATCTTCACAGGAAGGTATCTGTACAACACAGGTGAGTGTGGTCATCACTGACTCAAGGCAAACAACAGGTGACTAAATCTTCACAGGAAGGTATCTGTACAACATAGGGAAGTGTGGTCATCACTGACTCAAGGCAAACAACAGGTGACTAAATCTTCACAGGAAGGTATCTGTACAACACAGGGGAGTGTGGTCATCAACGACTCAAGGCAAACAACAGGTGACTAAATCTTCACAGGAAGGTATCTGTACAACACAGGGGAGTGGGGTCATCAACGACTCAAGGCAAACAACAGGTGACTAAATCTTCACAGGAAGGTATCTGTACAACACAGGTGAGTGGGGTCATCACTGACTCAAGGCAAACAACAGGTGACTAAATCTTCACAGGAAGGTATCTGTACAACATAGGGAAGTGTGGTCATCACTGACTCAAGGCAAACAACAGGTGACTAAATCTTCACAGGAAGGTATCTGTACAACACAGGGAAGTGGAGTCATCACTGACTCAAGGCAAACAACAGGTGACTAAATCTTCACAAGTAGGTATCTGTACAACACAGGGAAGTGGGGTCATCACTGACTCAAGGCAAACAACAGGTGACTAAATCTTTCACAGGAAGGTATCTGTACAACACAGGGGAGTGGGGTCATCACTGACTCAAGGCAAACAACAGGTGACTAAATCTTCACAAGTCTTAGTATCTGTACAACATAGGGAAGTGTGGTCATCAACGACTCAAGGCAAACAACAGGTGACTAAATCTTCACAAGTAGGTATCTGTACAACATAGGGAAGTGTGGTCATCAACGACTCAAGGCAAACAACAGGTGACTAAATCTTCACAAGTAGGTATCTGTACAACACAGGGGAGTGTGGTCATCACTGACTCAAGGCAAACAACAGGTGACTAAATCTTCACAAGTAGGTATCTGTACAACATAGGGAAGTGTGGTCATCAACGACTCAAGGCAAACAACAGGTGACTAAATCTTCACAAGTAGGTATCTGTACAACACAGGGGAGTGGGGTCATCACTGACTCAAGGCAAACAACAGGTGACTAAATCTTCACAAGTAGGTATCTGTACAACATAGGGAAGTGTGGTCATCAACGACTCAAGGCAAACAACAGGTGACTAAATCTTCACAAGTAGGTATCTGTACAACATAGGGAAGTGTGGTCATCAACGACTCAAGGCAAACAACAGGTGACTAAATCTTCACAAGTAGGTATCTGTACAACACAGGGGAGTGGAGTCATCACTGACTCAAGGCAAACAACAGGTGACTAAATCTTCACAGGAAGGTATCTGTACAACGCAGGGGAGTGGGGTCATCACTGACTCAAGGCAAACAACAGGTGACTAAATCTTCACAAGTCTTAGTATTTCACAAGTAAGGCATAGCCATATAGGGTTATTTGTATCAAATTAACCGAGTTCACTTGAGTTCATGATTCAATGCGATTGACCTGCATCACTTTGGGCTCTCCTCCCACATCAAGCTGACAAGCTGTGATGTAATATAATTAATGTAAATACTGTTCAAATTGGCTTTGACCGACTCTGTGTAACAAAATGATGGGCATCTGATTCCGCTGCCCCATACCAAATTTTGAAGTCATTTTGAAGTCGTTTTGAAAATTATTGCTGTATTTTTTTATAATGAATTTTGAGTTATCTCCCCTTAGTAATCGAGATTGGCATTGGGATTTTTATCAGTAATAAGAACTGTCTTCATGAGAGAGAGACACCTTCTACTGACTCGTATAAAATAACAAAGCCAACATGACATGATGACTTGATGAGTCGATCGTTTCGCCGAAAACTCGATTTTCCGATCGAATGCAAATTTATATAATATGTTTATATATTTGTGATGTTTGCGTTTATAAATACTATTATGAGCACGATTTTAGAATCGGCATTTTATCATTTGTTATAATCGAGTAAGAGGAAATTGCGAACTCTTTTTGCGTGGTTGCAACATGAGAGAACAGTCTCTGATCGAATCATCAATAAAAATTCATACGCAGTGCTTACACCAATTACGTCTTTTTCAGCCGGGGCGGTCGGGTAGCCTAGTGGTTAAAGCTTTCGCTCGTCACGCCGAAGACCCGGGTTCGATTCCCGACATGGGTACAATGCGTGAAGCCCATTTCTGGTGTCCCCCGCCGTGATATTGCTGGAATATTGCTAAAAGCGGCGTAAAACCATGCTCACTCACTCACTCACTCACTCTTCAGCCGTCATATAGCTGGAACACTGCTGAGTGCGGCGTTAAACAACAAACAAACAAACAAACAAACAAACAAACGTCTTTTGTAACGTTGCATGTCCATAACGTCGAAGCTTGAAGTGAGTAACAACAAATTATTACACTCGTCCCCGTTAGAGAACGTTTTTATTACACACTTGTGTATTTTTAAAACGTATCTAATGAGCGAAAGCGTTTTGAAATACATTCAATGTATAAAACTCGATATATGACGGAAACTCGTTTAGTAATACTCATCTATATGCAAATAAACATTTGCATATCATACACAGATATTTTTTTTAGAATATATAGACAACTGTAGGTCAGGACTTCAGCTGAATCAGCGTTTTGTTGGAGACACATAAACCTGTCTGTGACATCGTGAACAAAGGAAGACATCACGTCTCTATTGCGGCGCCTGGGTTTGGTCCTTTATGGCGCAGTAGACGGAATTAGAGTTCAAGTGGACAACAAACATGATTATTTCCACTGGGGACTCTGGTTCAGAGTGACCTCAAAGATCCCCATACCAATAGACCCAGCCGGGACGTAATGAGTGAGTGAACATTATTTCTGTTATATCACGGTGAGTGAGTGAGTTGTGTTTAACGCCGCTTTTAGCAATATTCCAGCAATATCACGGCGTGTCAGCTTAATGTGGGAGGAAAGCCCGAAGTGATGCAGGTCTCAGACGTTTACCACTTCGGTGAAACCCACGAGCACGGGTATGGTGCTGACAAACCTAGAAACATAATCGGGGCGAACCGGGATTCTAACCCACAATCATAAGTTTCTGGTGTGCCTAAGGGACCCAACTCTGTACAGCGAATCGCGGCGCCTAAGACGACTGGGCCACCCTACAACACGAATTGCGGCCCTTAGATGGATGGGTCCCTTTGTCCTCGAGTCGGATGATTATAACTAATGATCTGGCTGGCAACACAGCGTCCACAGTTGGTACACCTGGCAGAGGCTAGACTATCTCCATACCACTACCATACAGCATAGAGCAAAATACAACGTTCACCTAGCTGCTCTTAATATAATTATTAATTACATCTTACAAACAATAACTTAAAGGCACCATTCAATAAAAAACAACAACGTTCTTTTAATTACCGAGCAAAAGAAGGTATACACCTCTGTTTGATGGTGGTTAATAATTGAAACAAACAATGGTTATTCGATAGTCGTGCATTCGATAGGGGTATCACAGTCGTGTTTCAGAAATTAGGTTTCCATTGTTTCGGCGACTGTTTTCATCCGAGTAACGTTTTGATAAGTTTTGTATTTTTTTGTCAGATTCAATTTTCAAGTGTATTCTTTCTTTTGCCCGGTGACCCGTGCAGATTCCGGAGTAGAATAGGTCTTCAGCGCAACCCATGCTTGCAGTAAAAGGTGACTATGCTTGTCGTAAAAGCCGACTAACGGGATCGGGTGGTCAGTGACCCGTGCAGATTCCGGGGTAGAATAGGTCTTCAGCGCAACCCATGCTTGCAGTAAAAGGTGACTATGCTTGTCGTAAAAGACGACTAACGGGATCGGGTGGTCAGGCTCGCTCCAATTGCGTAGATCGATGATCATAATATCAGTCGCTGGATTATCTGGTCCAGACTCGATTATTTACAGACCGCCGTCATATAGCTGGAATATTGCTGAGTGCGGCGTTAAACCACAAACCAACCAATCTTTTCCCCAGCGGTTTATTTCATTAGATGGGTACCAGAAATTAAATATGGTGCCAAGCGTAGTATCCGCGTTAAGTTTGGTATTGTTCCTTCACCCCACACTTACCTGCGTCCAATCCGCGTCTCAGTATCCGAACAGGAACATAAAGGTCGTTGGTGAGAGTGACGGTGAGAGACACGTGATCTCCATGATAGTCCAGCCTCTGGTCAAAAGCTACAGCGTCGATGTAGTTCCCGTCGTTGGTGTCCATACCAAGGACGTAATCAAACACTTGATCCGCATTATCTTCCAAAAAAATGTTGACATTGTAAGTAATAGATTAAAAAGCATTTTTATCTTAAAATCTTGGCTGGAAATGACATCCACGAACATAGTTTACTCATGATTTACACAATTTATAACTTACTCGTTACTGGGTCATGTGTTGGGAATAAATATAGGCAACTAAAGGTTTTCATTATCTTTATAAATTAAAGTGAAAAAACCCTTTTCGTTGCTACAAGAAAATTCTGCTCCGATTGTACGATTCCGATTGTATCAATGAATCACTATCAAAAAGTTATCATATCCTGCCCCAACCGTGGCACCTGCCACAAACACATGCGAAGGCAAGTCAACTGTTTACCTGAAATAAACCACGGGAACATATGATACAAAATGGGGAACTGTGCCGGACATCCTTTTTGTCACTGATGCATCAAATTTGGAAATACCCACCACATGTCTCAACGTTTTGAAAACGTTAAGGTTATTACTTTCTAGGAAATATTGTGACCTTGATCAAACAGTGTTAGAGCTGGAGTCGAATGATGCTCTTTGAAATCTTTGAAGAAATCGCATGCTCGAAAGAAAGCTCTACTAAAAGCAGAATCCATTTTACAATTCCGACATCATGAGCATGTGTGTATGGATCATTATTAAATAGTGATAATACCAAATATTGACAGCAAGCTGAGCGTCACAGGTCACAAACACATGCCAGGCAAGTCAATGCAAGGACGTCGACATCCCCATCGAATAACCATTTCTTGTTTGCTTCATTTTACATAGGTGTATACTTTCTATTGCCCGTCAGTATATGTTCCTGTTATTATCATTTTATTCATTATGAATCTAAAAAAAATACAGTCATCGCAATTCGAAGTAATTTTAACGGCATAAGGCATAAGGCGGACGCGACTTGTTTGTTTACCTGGTACACAGATTTCAGGGAAGCCCCACGTTATCTTCTGCACTTGGCATCCAGATTCAATCAAGTCTATCATGTACTGCTGTCCCTAAAATCAAGTAAGAAGAAAATATTGTCTCCACATAGTAACGGTTATTTAATTAACATACCCACAAATATTTTTGGTTTGTTTTTTGTTGGGCATTCGGGGAACCCTAGTGGTTAAAGCGTTCGCTCGTCACGCCGAAGACCCGGGTTCGATTCACGACATGGGTACAATGCATGAACCTCATTTCTGGTGTTCCCCGCCGTGATATGGCTGGAATATTGCTAAACGCGGCGTAAAATCAAACTCACTCATTTCTTGGTTTGTTTGTTGTTTAACGCCGCACTCAGCACTATTCCAGTAATATGAGGACGGTCTGTAAATAATCGAGTCTGGGCCAGACAATCCCGTGACTGATATTGATCCACGAAATTGGGATACGATGACTACCCGATCTCGTTAGTCGCCTCTTACAACAAGCATAGTCGCCTTTAACAGCAAGCACGGGGTGCGCTGAAGACCTCTTCTACCCCTGAATGTCACGGGTCTGCGAATAATGAGTCCCAAAGGGATGTTTATGAAGTTTTATCAAATGCACTATTGCGATACATCTATCCATTATCCAGAACCCAGTCACCACAAAAGATCTCCATTTCTCTTATTATTGAAGACTATTTTCAGTCGGACAAATGCCGGTTTTATAGTGCTAGATCACTGAGATACCGTACCGCAGTTTAAATGGATATCCAACTTGGATACAGTATACTGTCTCCGAGGCGACCAGTCCTTGGTTTATCCTCTGAATGCCGAGCGCCATGCAGGGTCAGATAGAGAGTGAGTGAGTTTGGTTTAACGCCGCTTTTAACAGTATACCAGTTATATCCAGGCGTTTCAGCTTAATGTGGGAGGAAAGCCCGAAGTGATGCAGGTCTCAGACATTTACCACTTCGGTGAAACCCACGAGCACGTGTATGGTGCTGACAAACCTAGAAACATAATCGGGGCGAACCGGGATTCGAACCCACAATCATAAGTTTCTGGCGTGCCTAAAGGACGCAACTCTGCACAGCGCATCTTGCGAATGTATTGCAAGTTAAAACGGCACGTTTGGATCACAATTACAAATGAACATGGATGTAAAACGGAATAAACACTCCAAGTAAACATGGTTGGTCCTAAACATATAGTGATTTCAATTGATATTCAAAACATGTAGAAATGCGACGAGTAAAATCGAAATTGAATACTTAATTGACGTTAATAACCTGCTACTATCGTTTGTGCTGGAGGTCCTAATAACCTGATCTCTCGCCACCTGTCAATCAAGCAACATGACTGACCAATCAGAAACTCTGAAGTGATACAGACATCTTGTTCGACATCTTTAACCCTGTCCGGCTTTTATCAGCGACGGATGTTTTAAAACATGTTCTGTAAATCTTGAAATTAACTCGAGCGTGAATTAAATTCGAAAAATTCAAGAAAATCACTCAGAAACATCAGTATCTCCGGTTATCTATTTTTATTGTTAAAATACCCAGACATGTTGCTGGGTGTGAGATCAACTTCTCTCTGACAATAGGTGAGTTGTAGTTCAGGCTGCAGCCGATGGTAATCACGTCGTCCAATAGCAACTGTAGTGATATGCAAGCAGACTTGTATGGGGACATTGGAGCAATGTGATGCCGAAATAACCAGGGACAATGGCTGATGTCTACATACGCGGCTAACGACATCGTCTTAAAGGCGACTACACACTGGCTGACCCAGGCCGTCTAAAAATGTCCAGCTAAAGAATCAACTATACATTTAACAACGTTTATAACGAACAAGCTTATAACGAACTGACGGATATAACGAACTTATTTTTTTGTCCAAACTATTTGCATTTTTTGTTTTTTGTTCTTGTTCTTCAAAGCCGCCCCCACCAATATTCCAGCTATATGACGGCGGTCTGTAAATAATGGAATTTGCACCAGACAATTCAGTGATTGACATCATGAGCATCGATCCACGTAATTGGGATCGATGACATGATTATGCTATAGTTATGCCGTATATACGTTTATATCGAACTACGGTTATAACAAAGTAAAGTTAGTGGTCCCCTTGAGTTTGTTATAATCGCAGTTTACTGTACTTGTGTTTTGGAGAATCGTGCAGTTCAATGCAAGAAAACCAATATGTATGGTAATGTTACAGTTAGGTACTTACAGCGTTGTAATCAGTGATCACTTTCACGTGTACATTGTCGACACCTACGTTCCTGTAGACCACTTGAGCTGATCTGTTGTGGAGTTTGTCGTAGTACACAGCGGATATTTCCTGTAACAGCAGTACGTGATGAATATATCTGTAACAGCAGTGCGTGATGAATATATCTGTTACACAGATGTATATATCTGTTACAGAGTAGTGTATAATGACCATATCTGTAACAGCAGTGCGTGATGAATATATCTATTACACAGATGTATATATCTGTTACAGAGTAGTGTATAATGACCATATCTGTAACAGCAGTGCGTGATGTATATATCTGTTACAGAGTAGCGTATAATGACCATATCTGTAACAGCAGTGCGTGATAAATATATCTATTACACAGATGTATATATCTGTTACAGAGTAGTGTATAATGACCATATCTGTAACAGCAGTGCGTGATGTATATATCTGTTACAGAGTAGTGTATAATGACCATATCTGTAACAGCAGTGCGTGATGAATATATCTATTACACAGATGTATATATCTGTTACAGAGTAGTGTATAATGACCATATCTGTAACAGCAGTGCGTGATGAATATATCTATTACACAGATGTATATATCTGTTACAGAGTAGTGTATAATGACCATATCTGTAACAGCAGTGCGTGATGTATATATCTGTTACAGAGTAGCGTATAATGACCATATCTGTAACAGCAGTGCGTGATAAATATATCTATTACACAGATGTATATATCTGTTACAGAGTAGTGTATAATGACCATATCTGTAACAGCAGTGCGTGATGTATATATCTGTTACAGAGTAGCGTATAATGACCATATCTGTAACAGCAGTGCGTGATGTATATATCTGTTAGAGGGTAGCGTATAATGACCATATCTGTAACAGCAGTGCCTGTGAATATATCTATTACACAGATGTATATATCTGTTACAGAGTAGCGTATAATGACCATATCTGTAACAGCAGTGCGTGATGAATATATCTATTACACAGATGTATATATCTGTTACAGAGTAGCGTATAATGACCATATCTGTAACAGCAGTGCGTGATGAATATATCTGTTACACAGATGTATATATATGTTACAGAGTAGTGTATAATGACCATATCTGTAACAGCAGTGCGTGATGAATATATCTATTACACAGATGTATATATCTGTTACAGAGTAGTGTATAATGACCATATCTGTAACAGCAGTGCGTGATGTATATATCTGTTACAGAGTAGTGTATAATGACCATATCTGTAATAGCAGTGCCTGATGAATATATCTATTACACAGATGTATACATCTGTTACAGAGTAGCGTATAATGACCATATCTGTAACAGCAGTGCGTGATGAATATATATATTACACAGATGTATATATCTGTTACAGAGTAGCGTATAATGACTATATCTGTAACAGCAGTGCGTGATGAATATAGTTATTACACAGATGTATATATCTGTTACAGAGTAGTGTATAATGACCATATCTGTAATAGAAGTGCGTGATGAATATATCTATTACACAGATGTATATATTTGTTACAGAGTAGCGTATGATGACCATATCTGTAACAGAAGTGCGTGATGAATATATCTATTACACAGATGTATATATCTGTTACAGAGTAGTGTAGAATGACCATATCTGTAACAGAAGTGCGTGATGAATATATCTATTACACAGATGTATATATCTGTTACAGAGTAGTGTATAATGACCATATCTGTAACAGAAGTGCGTGATGAATATATCTATTACACAGATGTATATATTTGTTACAGAGTAGTGTATAATGACCATATCTGTAACAGCAGTGCGTGATGAATATATCTATTACACAGATGTATATATTTGTTACAGAGTAGCGTATAATGACCATATCTGTAACAGCAGTGCGTGATGAATATATATTTTACACATATGTATATATCTGTTACAGAGTATTGCATGATGGTTATATCTGTAACAGAATAGTGCATGATGAATATATGTAACAGAAGAGTGCATGATCAAAATATAAGTAACAGATTAGTGCATGGTGAAGATATCTGCAACGGAATAGTGCATGATGGATATATATGTAACATTATGGTGCATGGTGAAGATATCTGTTACAAAATAGTGCATGGTGAATATATCTGCAAAGGGATAGTGCGTGATTGATATATATGTAACAGAATAATGCATGATGGATATATATGTAACAGAATAGTGCGTGATTGATATATGTAACATTATAGTGCATGATGGATATATATGTAACAGAATAGTGCATCATGGATATATATGTAACAGAGTAGTGCATGATGGATATATATGTAATAGAGTAGTGCCTGATGGATATATATGTAACATTATAGTGCATGGTGAATATATCAGCAAAGGAATAGTGATGATTGATATATATGTAACATTATAGTGCATGATGGATATATATGTAACAGAATAGTGCATGATTGATATATATGTAACATTATAGTGCATGATGGATATCTCTGTAAGAGAATAGTGCAAGATGGATATATCTGTAACAGAATAGTGCATGATGGATATATCTGTAACATTATAGTGCATGATGGATATATATGTAAGAGAATAGTGCAAGATGGATATATGTGTAACATTATAGTGCATGATGGATGTATATGTAACAGAGTAGTGCATGTTGATATATATGTAACATTATAGTGTATGATGGATATATATGTAACATTATAGTGAATGATGGATATATATGTAGCAGAGTAGTGCATGTTGATATATGTAACATTATAGTGTATGATGGATATATATGTAACATTATAGTGAATGATGGATATATATGTAACAGAGTAGTGCATGATGATATATGTAACATTATAGTGTATGATTGATATATATGTAACATTATAGTGAATGATGGATATATCGGTAACAGAATAGTGCATGATGGATATATTTATACGAGAGTATTGCATAATGAATATGTATATATACGTAACGGAATAGTGCATGATTGATAAATATGTAACAGAGTAGTGCATGCTTGATATATATGTAACATTATAGTGTATGATTGATATATCTGTAACAGAAGAGTGCATGATGGATATATCTGTAACAGAATAGTGCATGGTGAAATTATCTGTAACAGAATAGTGCATGATGGATATATATGTAACATAATAGTGCATGATGAATATATATGTAACAGAATAGTGCATGGTGAATATATTTGTAACATAATAGTGCATGGTGAATTTATCTGTAACATAATAGTGCATGATGGATATATCTGTAACAGAATAGTACATGATGAATATATGAATGTTGGGAATCGGCGTGACGAGCCAACACAAGGCTACACCAACGCCCCTCCTCTCAACAACCTACAGTGGAGAAGCAGCTTACTACATCATTGAACAACCTACAGTGGAGATGCAGCTTACTATATCATTGAACAACCTACAGTGGAGATGCAGCTTACTATATCATTGAACAACCTACAGTGGAGCTGCAGCTTACTATATCATTGAACAACCTACAGTGGAGAATCATCTTACTATATCATTGAACAACCTACAGTGGAGAAGCAGCTTACTATATCATTGAACAACCTACAGTGGAGATGCAGCTTACTATATCATTGAACAACCTACAATGGAGAAGCAGCTTACTATATCATTGAACAACCTACAGTGGAGAAGCATCTTACTATATCATTGAACAACCTACAGTGGAGAAGCATCTTAATATATCATTGAACAACCTACAATGGAGAAGCAGCTTACTATATCATTGAACAACCTGCAGTGGAGAAGCATCTTACTATATCATTGAACAACCTACAATGGAGAAGCACCTTACTATATCATTGAACAACCTACAGTGGAGAAGCAGCTTACTATATCATTGAACAACCTACAGTGGAGAAGCATCTTACTATATCATTGAACAACCTACAGTGGAGAAGCAGCTTACTATATCATTGAACAACCTACAGTGGAGAAGCATCTTACTATATCATTGAACAACCTACAGTGGAGAAGCAGCTTACTATATCATTGAACAACCTACAGTGGATAAGCATCTTACTGTATCATTGAACAACCTACAGTGGAGAAGCAGCTTACTATATCATTGAACAACCTACAGTGGAGAAGCATCTTACTATATCATTGAACAACCTACAGTGGAGAAGCATCTTAATATATCATTGAACAACCTACAATGGAGAAGCAGCTTACTATATCATTGAACAACCTGAAGTGGAGAAGCATCTTACTATATCATTGAACAACCTACAATGGAGAAGCACCTTACTATATCATTGAACAACCTACAGTGGAGAAGCAGCTTACTATATCATTGAACAACCTACAGTGGAGAAGCATCTTACTATATCATTGAACAACCTACAGTGGAGAAGCAGCTTACTATATCATTGAACAACCTACAGTGGAGAAGCATCTTACTATATCATTGAACAACCTACAGTGGAGAAGCAGCTTACTATATCATTGAACAACCTACAGTGGAGAAGCAGCTTACTATATCATTGAACAACCTACAGTGGAGAAGCATATTACTATATCATTGAACAACTTACAGTGGAGAAGCAGCTTACTATATCATTGAACAACCTACAGTGGAGAAGCATCTTACTATATCATTGAACAACCTACAGTAGAGAAGCAGCTTACTATATCATTGAACAACCTACAGTAGAGAAGCAGCTTACTATATCATTGAACAACCTACAGTAGAGAAGCAGCTTACTGTATCATTGAACAACCTACAGTGGAGAAGCATCTTACTATATCATTGAACAACCTACAGTGGAGAAGCATCTTACTATATCATTGAACAACCTACAGTGGAGAAGCAGCTTACTATATCATTGAACAACCCACAGTGGAGAAGCATCTTACTATATCATTGAACAACCTACAGTGGAGAAGCATCTTACTATATCATTGAACAACCTACAGTGGAGAAGCAGCTTACTGTATCATTGAACAACCTACAGTGGAGAAGCAGCTTACTATATCATTGAACAACCTACAGTGGAGAAGCAGCTTACTATATCATTGAACAACCTGCAG